GTGTGGGTGGGTGTGAGTGTGGGTGTGTGGGCGTGGGTGTGGGCGTGTGGGCGTGGGTGTGGGTGTGGGTGGGTGTGGGTATGAGTGTGAGTGTACGTGTTAGTCTTTTCTTGATCAACACCTACACCTACACCCACGCCCACATCACACCCATGCCCACACCCCCACCCCCACCGCCACCCCCACCGCCACCCACACCCCCACTCACACCCACACCCCACACTCACACCTCACACCCACACCCACAGTCCGAGCCCCAGCCCCAGCTCCACCCCCACCCCCACCCCCACCCACACCCCCACTCACACCTACATCCCACACTCACACCCCACGCCCACACCCCCAGCCCGAGCCCGAGCCCCCGCCCCCGCCCCCCCCCAACCCCCGGCACACCTGCATTCTTCAGTACTGCCATCAGAAAGAGTTTCAAAAAACAATTCAAATTGAAAAATCTAGACTCACTATTTTACTAGAGATAGCATCCTCTTAAGAAGGGATGTACTAACATAAAACGTACTTTGTACTCGAGAGTTTCAAATATCAAATGCCAACAATACTAATTATTATACTAGATATTCAAGTATTGACCTAAAGAAATGCGGATAGATTTTCGTCATGCGTACATCATTACATTCTTATTCTTTGTTTTCGTAGCTGCGTCGAGAATCATTGACGACGATTAGTTTAATGGGAAAAAAACAACTGAAAGTTGTGTAAATAAAAGACCAAAAATTTTTTGAGCTAATGATGTGTACACACATTAGTTCGTGTTAGAACACTTCGAGCTCGTAGGCTTCTTTGAGTAGTTATTTTTTTATATTGCAATTTTTATGAATTTGAAAGTGTATTTTATGATTGCTTTGGATATTTTTTGTTAAAATAAATCTCTTGTGTAAGTTCGATATACATGGCATAAAATCATCAAACAATAAGTTTAAAGTAGTATTTACTGTAGAAATCGAAAAAAATCTTTGTTTATAATGAGAACAAATTGCTAGTGTGTATTTCATTCATCATTTTCATTTGAGATCTTCGACACACTATGGCTACCCGTGAGATAACTCCAAGCGGCTACTATACGCGTCATCGTTTACCTATAAAGGTTTGTTCGAGCCATAGATCTTTCCAAAGTAATGATAAACAAATTTATGCTGTTGATTGCGTAGATTATAGTAAAGCGACCACGACCACCAACCACACCACCAATTCAAAGCATTCTTAGTAATTTGGATGATATTCGTGAAGTTTCATCACGTGATTGGTCGATGTCAGACTCTCGTGATTCTAAGAGAAGAGTTCGAGCATCAGGAACTTCGGGCTCGTACGTTGCCCTGATAGATATTAAACGGGTATCGTATTTTTCGTTTATCTAGGTTCCTAACATGCTGTGAATGGGGAATGCTGGCGGCAATTGTATTATTGTCAGTTGGTCTTGTCGTAGCGATTATCTTACTCTTTACGTGGCCAAGAAGCCAAACGAATGATTCGAGTGGTCAGTATAAAGAACGACTATTTAAAACCAATGTTAGTTTTCTTGTTATAGTTGTCAATACTTGTAATGCGTCATCTGTCAACACTACTTCAACTACTAGCGTGAGCTCAATTTCGTCGACTACATCACCAAGTGTGACTACTAGTTCTCAAGCAACTACCAGCATGAGTACAACAACTACTAGCACGACTACAACAACTATCAGCACGAGTACAACAACTACCAGCACGAGTACAACAACTAGTAGCACGACTATAACAACTACCAGCAAGAGTACAACAACTACTAGCACGACTACAACAACTACCAGCACGAGTACAACAACTAGTAGCACGACTACAACAACTACCAGCGCGAGTACAACTACTAGCACGACTACAACTACTACCAGCACGACCACAACAAGTTAGTCTGATGTCTATTTTGTGACATGATTAGTATAGCTCTACCATTGACTGCAGCCTAGATATTGGAACTACGGAATCGTTTGGACATACTAGTAATTTGTCGTTAAGTTTTCGGAGCATGGTTTATAGAAAAATAGCAGAAGCAGATTTGAATCGATGTTGGCGGCAACCCACTTCTTTGACCTGACTTGAACTGATCTAACTTGAAACGTGAACAAACAATAGCAGGTCGATTGAGGTTTCGGATTGTTTCGGGGGCAACAGACAAATTTCTGTTCTAGAAATTATTAGAAATCACTATAACACATTAAGAATGTGATTAATGACTAAAAATTATTAAAAATTATTGAAAGTCATCAGCACCCACTGGAAACATTTGGAAATTATTAGAAATACATGGACATTATTTTATACCATAGCAAATCTTCAGTATGAAAATTAAAAGTAGAATCCTAATATTTACTGATTTCTAATGATTTTTATTAACTTCCTTGATTTTCCATAAATTTCGATATTTCTAGTGTTACTCGTGAGCTCTGTTGATTTCTTATCATTACTCATCATTTCTAAACACTTTCGAAGATAACTACTCATTCACAATGTAAATACAAAAACTGATTTCCAATCATAGAACTCCTCAATAATTACTGAAAATCATTAGAAATCAAGGAAATCAGTTGTTTCTCCAGGGAATTGAATGTATAAGTTCCATTTTACTGTTATGCATCGATGCACTATCCTACGTAGGTGCAGTCATTCACTGAATTAATTAACATGAATCCAGGATAATAAAAATTTCTTGTGATAGATAGCAACACAAATAAATAGGAACCATGAATTTTTTTCATTCGAGACACATCCTGATTAGTTTAGTGTCTTTGTTCGTATCGACTTTATCTTTCCTAATCGAAATAATGCAATTACAGTAGCTAAAAAAACATATAGCCAGGTATTGAATGAGAAGGTAAAAGAAAGTATAGTACGAAATTATAAGGCGTCAGTGACACCGATTAAAAAGCTGTTAGCGCAATCCCTTGCAGGATTAAAAATGTGAAACACGATGGATCTATTGTCACTAGTTAAATGGGAATCGTTTTGTTCCATTTCTTTGCGATACATTTGTAGCTAACCGTTTATATAATGCTTTCGAACTACAGTTTCTCTGTCACGGTCTGTGATGGGTCCAGAGCCCTGTCCATCACAGTCTGTGATGGATTCAAAGCCTGTCTGTCACGGTCTGTGGGGGGGGGGGGGGGGGGGGGTGAGTGCAAATTTCTACCCATAAACACTTCAACACTCCTTTCAGACCGTGTTTCACAAAATAGGACAAGAATATTTGCATTCAGCGATTATGTTTTGACATAAAAGCAATCTCAAAATTCACCATACAATTGTTTTGGACCTAAAAACATTTTTCCATCAATGATTGTAAGCTCTGGAGCATAATGTTAGCGCTCAGTATATGTATTTCGAATTTTAAGAGCATACATCAGCCTTGAACTTCCAAAGCTTCCTAGTCAGGCTAGGTAATTTGGCTTAGTCTATTTCATAGCCTGCTCTCTAAAAAAAGGTGTCATAATGAACCGTTTTTCGGTACCATTTTCTGAATCCTTTTTCAGTTCTAGACATGTTCGCTAGAACTCAAAAAGGTTTAACCGGAAAGTCTAGAACCTTTATGAGTTCTATACTTGCTGGCTAGAACTGAAAAAAAAAGGTTCAGAAAATGGTACCCAAATCTAGAACCTTAAAAAGTTCAGAATCTTCGCCAAAACCTTAAAAGGTTCAGCGTGACGTCTTTTTTTTAGAGAGTGGTGGCAACCGCAGGCTGAGTTTGAGTTCAATATGAATGCAGGCATTTACAGTCATATTCTTTTCGTGCATATGATTGAGTAGCAGTAATACGAAAATTGAGATTCATCTCTTTTCATACAGTTTGTTATTATATTTACCAGGAACCACCACGACGACTGCAGCTACTATTAGTAAGTAGTCTCAAGAAGACATTCCAGCAAAAAGTTCTACGTTTGTTCTCTTGATTTCAGCGGTTACCTCCAACACGTGTACATCAGGGTGGAAAAGTATCACCTCGCTCTATCACTGCGTCAATAATTGTACCGTTCAGAGTTCTTATGTTCAGTATGTATATACTTATTTAGCAATTGCAACTACAACACGAATTACGTTTGCTCTCCGTGAAGATCAATATTTTTTTGCCCTTGATAACGTAACTGTATGCGACACTGCATCACCTAGCATTCAACTACTTACCAATGGTGACTTTGAGACAGGCAGTACGGTACCATGGGTATATTGCAATCCAAGCGGGTCACAATATTCTGGCCAGGTGGAAACAGGAACCACTATTATGTATGGTTATACGTATGTGGCTTACTCTGGTACGGATTTCTATTTAGATGGGGCTATAGGTGCTCCCGATTATCTCAGTCAAACATTTTCGACAACTATTGGTCATACATACCGTATATCCTTTTGGTTATACAATGCAAACGGTGGGACAGCATATAGTGTTGATGTTCTAATGAGCATCTGACACTATATCTATTGGTACAATACACCTGATAGACAGCAAAAACGGCATTCACATTTTCCTCGTATTTGCCACTATTGAAAGAACAATGTTTATCAAACTTTGCAAAAGACAGATATTTC